CTCTCCCTCCCTCCCTCCCTCCCTTCCTTCCTCCCTCCCTCCCTCGCTCTCTCCCTCCCTCCCTCCCTCCCTCCCTTCCTTCCTTCCACAAACAATTATTGAACACCTGCTTTATGCCAGGCATTATGCTTGGAGCCATAACAGATACATCAGCATGGCCCCTGCTCTCATGAAGCCTATAGTCTAGTAAATGTGATTGAGAAGCAAATCAAAGGTAACAGTACTTGTGGTTGGAGTTATGTGGAGGGTTCTGTGGGGGGTTCAGTAAGACTAGGGAAGAATTGGCTGAGGTTATGTCACTAAACTGATTTTGAAGGACAAATAGGAGTTAGTTAAGGGAGGGAGGCAGGACCCAGACCCAGGAGGAAGACACAGGTCAGATAATGAGATAGTCTTGTGGTTGGCCTGCATGACTGGGATGAGCATAAAAGGGAGATCTCCCTAGAATTTTCTATCCCTGGGCAATCACCATCAATGTTATATAAAACATTGTTACATAAAAAATTCAAAGTCTGCAAATTGTCTGACAAATCTCATACTACTCTCTCAGGTAAGTGCCGAAAATGTCAATCTCATAATAAAATAAAAGCTGATTTCATTTGTTTGATCTCTGTTAAAGCCAGTAGAAATGATTTATTGATTTTTTAAAGAAAAATATGTTTTTAAATGCCACTTTTCTTGCAAGCAACTTGTTGATAGATGTGGGGTTCTCATATACCTCAAATGAGCTTCTAGTTACAAAATGTTAACAGTTTTGAGGAAAATCAATAGAATAATCAGAAAACTCATGAAAAGATGAATAAAGAGCAAAAAAAATTCCATATCTTGTAGTCAGTGCTATTTTTTTTCTTAATGTTGAAAGTTTGCAACTTGTTACTTGTTGCTTGGCTCCAGGTGTACCTTAATGTTTTTTTGTTTTGTTTTGTTTTGTTTTTAATGCTATAAAAATGGAAGCTGACACACATAAATGAAGAACACACTCTGAGCACAGCTGGGTAATACAGAAACTGAAAGCCAGGCATGAGTGCTTTGTGAAGGCCGGGGACGAACTCGTGCGTGCTCTCTGTGCACCTTGTGTGATGACATAGCCCACTGCACTTGTCAGTGTGCTGGGGCTCACACGCCACATGGACGTCCATTTGGGGTTGAATGCTTGGAGGTAGTTTGTTCCTCTCAATGAACTTTCTTTTGTCAGACTAGAAGATACCTGCAACTTGCCTTTCTCTTTTTTCCTTGGTTTCAGGAAGCTCCCAGCTATAGCCCTCAGCCTGGGCTTTCTTTCCATTCCTCTGCTACCTCTTGGTTTCATTAGATTATTTGAAAGAAAAATCCTAGAGCATCTGTGACTTTCTTTGAGACTGCTTAAAATCCCCCGTGGAAGTAAAAGGGTTAAAATAATGATACTATCAAAGAACTGTGGTTCTTCACAGGAATACAAAAGTAATCGAATGTGAGCACTGCATTTCCAAAAGTCCTCACTGTGGAAGTAAAGTTATCAAGGTGGCTACAACCATACCTTTTCCTAGTATAGTGGAGGGCCTATATGTATATTTCTCCCACCAACGACCTTCTCACTGGATAGAGCAGATAAGCAATTCAGATGAATTTGCGTGTAGTGATTTTACAAATTATTATTATTACAAGATATTATTACTAAATAATATTACATATTAATATCATATAACATTATGTATATTATTATTTGCATAATAGTCTACAATTAGTAAGTCATCACAAAGTGTTGTGACACCTGCCACCAATTTGGGTTGTCCCACAGCTTGGGGCCCTGAGAATCCTTTTTCATATGCCCATGCTGAGTTTCACCTGATGGCTGAAACTCGTTACTGGTAACTGATTATTAAAAAGCTGAGGTCGTTGGGAGTCACTGACTTGAAGCAGAGGAAACGTTTCGCTAAAGCAAGATTAGAGACGCTAAATACACTGACTTAGCCAAACAAAAACTTGTGTTCTAGCTCCCTATAAGTTTTTAAAAAAATAAACATAAAATATTTCCAATTGAGTGTCTAGGCTCATACGTGAAAAGGGAACTTCAGATTAACCTAACAAAATGGTGCCAGGAAAAGAGTAGTGAAAGAGGCTCTGGGTCCAGAACCAGTTCTGCACTGTCTGGTTCTGTAGTTTCTCTGGGCCTCGGTTCTTGGGAAAAGGAGGGGCTGAACCTAGAGAATTTCAGTGGGTCTCACAGTTGAAGGAGAACACAAATTACTTTGTTGAAATTCAACTAAATTGAGGGCCTCGTGGTCTCCTCCAGGCACGTGGCGATGTGTGATGCACCTCGTCTTGTTTAGCACAGAGACCTTGGAATGCGAGTGTTGTCTTTGTACCACCAGCTGATCTTGGGTCTGGACACTTAGTGGGTGCCTTGTCAAAGGTCCTTTGTTGATGATGATGCCTCTGTTGACCCACTGTTAGCTAGATGTGCACTTTGAATAGTTTCTCTTTTTTCTTGGAGCAGTGAGGATGGATCTAGATGGAATCACCTATAGTCTCCCACTCTGCCATCTCATGAGATAGACGCCGGGGTGAATGTCTCCAGGGAGCAAAGCTCCTTCGGGAGCTGTAGCCTAGTGGTTAAGAAGGCAGGCTCTGCAGTGGGAGTCATTTTGTTTCTATTCCAGCCCTGCTATTCATTTGCTCTGTGGCCTTGGGCAAGTTATTTAGTCTCTGCATCTTAGCCTTTTCAGATGTAAAATGGGGAACTGGTTGACCCTCCCTCTTAGAGTTAAAAGTGTAGAGCACTTAGAACAAATGTCTGATACATAGTAAAAGCTCCGTAATGGACAACTGTTCTCGTTGTATCACTGCATTGCAAGAGGAATGAACCTACAGCCTGGATCCTATCACAGCCCTGTTGTGACCATCCGAAAGGAGGAGTAGAGAGGAGCAGTGGAAGGCACTCCTGAAACTTCTGTGTGGGCAGGAAGGATGGTGTTAAACCCTTCCTGGGAGATGGATGTTTGTGCTGCTCTTACAGCTCTGTAGGGAATAAAATTGCCTCTCGCTTTCACTAGCCTAATTCAATGTCTGACAACTTCTCTCACTCGGGAAGTTATTCCTTCTGTGTGGCTTAATTACCTATTGTTGCAGTTTCGATTTGGGGTGAAGGAAAGGATAATGGGTCTGACTGGGAGATAAAGGGTCTGCCGAAAAACTCCTGGGTTGGACTCAAACACTCACTCTCAGCAGACCAGAGCAGGGCTGGGTTATGGCTGTCGAGGCGCTCCGGGTCTCTGTGTGCATGTCTGCAGGGCTTCCAGGAGGGACGATGGAAGGCGGGAGCTGGCAGTTGGGCAGGACCTAGAATTCTTGGCTCTGGACGCCCCCTGTAAGCTGAGCAGCTTTGTACTGACGCTTTGTCTGTGCTTGGGCACTAGAGATTTCACCAGGAGAAAGGGTTCCGCTGATAAAAGAACAATTTGAAAACCAGGAGGCCAGCGTATATCTCTGACAAGCCACCTGACGTGACCTGTCACTTGGCAGCTGACTCTGTTGCTTCTTGCTCAGCTCCTCTGTGCTGCCTATTTGAAAAGTGGCAACATTGTGTGTGTGTGTGTGCGCGCGTGTGTGTGCATGCCCCTTTGCTCACGGTGATAGTGGGAGAAGGAGGATAAATGGGAAGATTTACAGGGCGAGGAACTTTATAAATCCAAGACATAATTATTATGAGACTGGAAAAAAAACCCTTTAGTGTCTTTGAGGGAATAATCTTGACCCAGCCTCGTGTGGGTGGGCCTCCTGGGTATTGATAGGGGGTTTTCATCTCTAGCCTATATGATGGGGTGGCAGTGATTGAAGCCCAAGGTTGAGAGCAGAACCATTTGGCACACCCGCATCTAATGGAATAGGTTTGGAGGGATATTGACCAAAATAAAGGGAGTGAATACGGATGGTGCAGGGGAAGATTTATGCCTGCTGAGTGCTGTGCAGCAACGGGCTTGCAAGGCCTTCCCTCCAAACCCTGTCCAAGGTGGGTGGCAAGGTGAGGTTTCAATCTCAGCGAGCACTGCATCCTTGTGTCTGACAGACAACTGAGTGGTGTCCTGGTGTTTTAAGTAATGGCCAGAGGACGGCCTTGAAGCACGAGAAGGTTCAGAAGGAAACTCGTCTGCCAGCCTGACTCCAGAATGTGGGTCTCAATTCCTTCCCTCGAGCTGCAGCAAGAATGGGAGCATCACTCAGGACTGTGTGACTGGGAGAAAGCTGTCTCCTAAATCAGTAGTGCCCCAAAAAGTCATGTTCAGATGGGGAGATTCCTCTGCACACTTGGTTGTAAATACCTGATGGATGGAAACTTCTCTTTGGCTTGGTCGATGGTTTTCCCTTGATGGTGCAGTTATTCTGATGGAGACGTTTTAAGATTGGGCTGAAGACAGCCTGGATTCCTGTGATACACTCCGTTGGGCACTTTCCATAGGTAGCTAACTCAGTCCTTACCACCACCCTGTGAGGCTAAGTGGTATGTTCTCCATTATACAGGTGAGGAATCTCAGGTTTAGAATTTATAGGACTCGCTGATCGTTAGTGGAGCCAGAGTTAGAATCTATACACGATTGATTTTTAAGATGCAAGAGAGGAAGAAACCAGATGCCATCCTGCTGCTAAAAATTGGCCTGAAACCAGCTTTACATGTAGTAGATTTGCCTTAGCAAAGCCTCTCCCGTTTTTCTGCAGCTGAAATGACAGACACACACACACACACAATCACCAAGACTTCTTTCTTCAAATTGTTTGCTAAGCCAGAAGCACCCATGGATCACTTGGAATGATGCCCTGCTCATCCCATTTTTCTCTCACCTTAAACACTGATCACAGCAGATTGTCCCTCTGCTGCTGAGTGATGCTTGCTCTAAGTGCTTACCGTACCTGAATGAATGAATTAATGAGTGAGTGATGGATGGTAGTCGTGGGAGGGGTGATGCCTCTTTGTGGGACGAGCTCACCTGTCTTCCCACATCCATCTGCTTGTCCTCTCTCAACAGGGTGGCATGATTGCTCTGCTGCTGTCCATCTTGTGCCTGGTGATGATCCTGTACACTCGCCGGCGCTGGTGCAAGCGCCGCCGGGTGCCCCAGCCCCAGAAGAGTGCCAGCGCCGAGGCAGCCAACGAGATTCACTACATTCCTTCTGTGCTGATCGGAGGGCACGGGCGGGAGAGTCTGCGCAACGCCCGCGTGCAGGGCCACAACTCCAGCGGCACCCTGAGCATCCGGGAGACACCCATCCTGGATGGCTATGAGTACGACATCACTGACCTGCGCCACCACCTGCAGAGGGAGTGCATGAACGGAGGGGAGGACTTCGCCAGCCAGGTCACTCGCACCCTCGACTCCCTGCAAGGCTGCAACGAGAAGACTGGGATGGACCTCACACCAGGTGGGGAGGGGAGAAGGACAAGGGGCGATTTGGTCCTTCCTCACAGGGAGCTAGGGAGTGAGTAGGGAACAGCCGTTTTCTAATTTTGTGGCTGGTTGTCACACATAATGGGACATGCCGGTGCCCTTTCCCAAGTGGGCAAGAAAAGTGAGCGTTTTCCTGAGATGATGGGAGCTGTTTTCTAATATAAGAAATCAGAAGAATAAGTGTAAATTGGATCCCTCTCCACTTCCACTTTGCATTGGAAGCAGAGACACTTTTACATCCAACAAAAGAGTGGTTTAGAGCCTTTATAGTATATGATGAGCAATCCTCAGGAATATAAGGACACAGCAAGGAAGATCAACATGTGTGTGAGATTTTTGTGTATAGTATGTTTACTTAGGCAATTTAATTTTCCACTGAAGTGGAGAGGAGAGAGGTATCTGTTCTTTTCTATAACTCCTGAGACTTTGGCCTGGGGTGTTTTAGTTGTGTTGTCTTGCCCATGGCTCAGTGGTCTTTACAAGGGATGTACTTTTTCAAAGAAGATGAAAGAATGCAGTCAAGCTGTCAGACCTCAAACACTTTGTGTATCTATGGAGACACTGCAGGGAAGAGACTTGGACCTAATCAGCTGGGCAAGACAGGGATCAACAAAATTCAGAGAGGAAACAAGTCCTTTTCTTTTACAGTAGCCCACCTGTCTCTCTCTCAAACTTCTACAAATAAGCATCTCCCCATAGATAAAACCCCAAGACGGCGATCCTTTAAGGTACTGCCCAATCATCTTTGAAGAAGACATTTTCGATACTGAATATTACATAAGATATATGGGCTTTCAGTGGGGCTTGAAAAGAGGGAAATTGCATCCTAGAGATTTCCATTCTGCTTGTTATCTAGAAGAGATCCTATATGAATAGCCACTTCCTAATAAGATTTAAAGTCTGGGAACTTCCTGAGAACATGGCACACATCTTCAATATCTCATATTCCCCATAGCACCAGGTGTAGTGCTAAGCCCATCAAGTAGCCATATGATACTCAGGGATTACAAACAAATGCATCCAGGGCAAATAGCACAAATTTGTGAAATAGCTGGATGTCAGACAGTAGGGAATGGTGCAGACTGTGGTGAAAGAGAGAAGGCATGTTCTGCCTGAATGCACTCAAATTCAAATTCTTTTAAAGCTCTGTACTGACCAAAAGAAAGAAATCTGCAGTCTGTATCTCACCAGAGGGCCACACGTGGTGACCCTGTCAATGCAGAATTAGTTGAATTAGATTTTCAGTTGTGATCACTCTTACTTCACTTCTTCTCTTATAACTCTGTAGTCCTCTAGAAATCAAAGAGGAATATTTCAGTCTCTGCCAGTCTCTCACTTTAAAGGTTCTTTATTTCAATTCTGTGAAACTCCATCTCCTTGGTTCATGCAGATTTCCTTGCTCTCACTTTCTTTTGGCCTTTTCTGTTAAAATCTTTGCCTTGACTTTTCCTTATACAGGAAGTGACAATGCCAAGCTGTCACTGATGAACAAATATAAAGATAACATCATTGCGACCAGCCCTGTGGACTCCAACCACCAGCAGGCCACCCTGCTCTCTCACACCTCCAGTAGCCAGAGAAAGCGGATCAACAACAAAGCAAGAGGTACCCATGTCTGCTGGTAGGGCTTTCAGGTGGATTCCCTAGTATCAGTAGAGGCAGGGCCGTTAATATCCTCCACCCCCACTCTCAGGCATGGCTTGGGTGTGTCCTGGCACAGTCTTTCTAGAGGCCTGTTGAGTGCTGCTTACCAAAAAATTTAAATATGCAAACCTTTTGACCAAGTAATTTCAAGAACAAGAATTTATCCTTAGGAAATAATTGAAAAATGCGCAAAGATGTGTGTAAAAGGCTGTTCATCACAACATTGTTTAAAAGAGTGAAAATTGGAAATAGTTTAAATGTCCATCAATAGGGAATTGGTTAACTAGCTCCACATCTGTCTGCTGTCCAGTGGCCTATAATGCAGCCATTCAAGATGATGATATAGATCTATATTTGTTAACATGGAAAGTTGCCCACCCATCTATTAAATGGATAAAAAATGAGATTATAAAGTAGAAGGTATAGCAGACTGCCATTTTTAAGAGGAGATTAAAAAGCCTTTATCTATTTCTGAATCAGAAAATGATGGAGGGTATATACATCAAATGTTAACAGTTTTTCTCGGATTTAGAGGACATCAGAGTTGTTCCCTTTACACATTTTTGTGTATTTTCTTTATTCTTTTTTGTTTTTTCCATATTAAATCTATATTAATTCTAGAACCAGAAAAAAATATCCTATGCCCCTCTTTACATAATTGCAGTATCCTATCAACCAGAATCATGACCTGTAAGGAGGGAAGTTTCCCTTTTTTGCTTTTCCACCTACCTTCCATGAACGTCCTCTCTGGCGGATAGCTGCCAGGAACGGCCCTCCTCAGTAGGAGCGTGGGCTGGTGGGTGTAGGACCCTAGTGATTGCTGTTATGTAAAGAGCTCCTTCTCCAATAAATCTTTATATCAGGAAGCTTCAGTCCCCAAGGCTACTCCTTCCGGATTGTCAGTCAACCCACTCTGATTTTTACCGATTTTTCTCTTGAATTTGCCCAGTGATTTGGTGTCATGAAGACAAACCTGAAGGTCTTGTCTTTGCCGTGCTTCTTTCCATTACAGCTGGTTCCGCCTTCCTAAACCCTGAAGGGGACTCTGGCACAGAGGCAGAAAACGACCCCCAGCTGACGTTTTACACCGACCCCTCTCGGAGCCGGAGGCGCAGTAGAGGTAGGAATGGTGGAGGGCCAAAGGGGAGTGAGAGAGGCTCTGAGGAGGGAAGGCAGGGAGCTGCAGAGGTGCTGGGTCAGGCTGGGGGCTCTGGGGAGCAAAGCCAGTTTCTGCAGGAAGAATTCCTGGACCACAATTGGTGTTCCCTCCTAAGGAAGAAAGAAGAGCCTAGAGTGGGAACTTGCAGAGAATCATCTCTCCCAGATAATGGCGCTCTCAAACAAGTTTTCAAGTTGTTTGAAAGGCTATTTCTTGGTCAGAAGACTCTCGATTCCTTCTGGAAGCCTCAGGAGTCATATTTTGCTGTTTAGACACAGGAAATAAAGTTGATAAAGAGTTTTGTGTGAAAAAATGGACAGTATAGGTACCCTTGCTCACCCAACCACAGTGACCTTGGGATCGGGCGAGGCAGGGATTGGGGGTCAGGGTAGTTGAGGAATGATCTATGGCCTGAAAAACGTGTGTAATGGTATTTGGCCTTTAGTCTCCTGCCCAGTAGAATCACGAGACCCCAAGCCTGCGAATCCCCTCCTTTCTCCTGGCAGGGTCCAGGTTAATTACTTCATCCTCCTCAGCATTGATAGATCATCCTTTCATGCAGCCACTGTCTGTGCCACTCCACCCTGATACTTAGTCTAGGCTTCAGGTGTAGCTATTGCACCTGTGGCTGCTGCTGCCTATGATTTTGCTGGTATCACCATCATCACTGAGGGAGGTCTGGGTTCAAGCACCATTCAGCCTCCATTTACTTGCTGTGTGACATTGGATAAGGACAACACATTCCCTGAGCCTCAGTTGCCTCACATATTAAATGAATTAACAATACCTCACACAAAGGACTCCTGTCAGAATTAAATTATATTAAAATGTGCTTTTTTGGCGACTGACAAAGCACTATGAAATTCTTGTTATTGTTGCCATTAGAACTCTCCCCAGTGCAGCCTTTGGTTTCTACAGCACTCTGTCTTAAAGAATTTTGGACAGGGGCTCCTTGAGATACAATGGAGGATGTTTGAGTGACCCCACCTCGTGTTGTACTCAATAGCATCTTCCCCAACCAATAACCAACCAATGCCCCCCAAAAGACACCTATATTTTGGCCCTCTCCTCCCTCCACTTGAGTTCTTTTCATATCGAGGGCATTCTTCCTAGAGATTGGAAGAACCCCTTTCATTTCCACATTTCCACTTTCTGTAGGCATTGCTGCTGTCAGTACAAAATTTCTTCCCACCATTTTTTCTTAAGAAATCAATGGGGCTCTGGGCAGCCTAATGTCTGATGCCATAGTATCCCTGAGGTGAGAATGTGGATCCCTTGATCCTCATTACATATTTATATACAGCAAATAGTCAGCCTAGGCTACAGCAAAGCAGGGTGTGTTCTGCTTTAATAAAATCCTGTTTTAAGAAAATCCATAGTAATGAATCAGAATGAGTTTCTTTGCAGCATAAAATTGTTCCTTTTAAATACCAAGTGCGCCTAGTCCATCAACTGTTTATTACTATTAACTAGACTGTAAGCTTCTTAGGGATGGGCATGTCTAATTTATTTTTCTAAAGTGACTAGTGAAGGATTTTGCTATAATAGAAGCTTGTAAGGGTTTGTTGAATTGATCTGGATACATCAGTCAGGCCAGCCAGAAATTTTATAACCTACCTGCCATGGGTCAGTCTTTGTGATAGGTGGTGGAAACATGAAAACAGGACACAGTGAAAGGCTTAATTTAATAATATAAATAAAGTGAAATGAATGCTCAGAAGAGAGAACAGTTAATTCTACCTGGTAGCAATAGGAGGCAAAAAAGGAGAAAATAATTAGACCTCGGTTATATACAATGTATAAGATTTCTTGAAAGAGGAAAATTAGGGTAAAGGCGTTCTAGTAGAGGAAAATAGCGTACGAAAAGCCTTGAAGGCAAAAAAGAACATGGTATTATCAAGCAAGTAAAAGCAGTTCAACATGGCAGCTGTAATCAGGGATATAAACATACAGACACGTGGGGGTAGTGGGGATGGGGCTGGATGACAGGCTGGCTACCAAAAGACCCCACATACGCCATGTTACTGAGTTTGCACTTGGTTCTGTAGGTCATAGGAAACCACTGGAAATTGTGAAGACAAGTAGAGATGCTGGATGATGGTTTGATGATGCAGACAGACCAGAGAGACAAGAAGATGAGTAGCAAGTTATTCATGTGAGAGCAGTGGCAAGTGCCCGTAAACAGTGACAGCACTGTGTGACGAGGGCTATAACAGCAGGGTGCACCAAGGGCTAGAGGAACAGCCAGGAATGAGTGAGAATCTAATCTTGAAGGCTTCAGGGAAGTGTTTACAGGGAGATGTTGTTTGAGCTGAGACTTGAAGAGTAGGTGTGTACCAGGCTGACAAGGTGACAAAATGGCATTCTGTGGAGGAGGAAATAATATGTGCAAAGTCAGAGGGACATAAACGATAATGGTCTAGTCAGAGAGCAGTAAATAGTTTACTAAAATGAAGCTTATGGTGCAAGTTTGTAGTTTGCTTAGGAAATAAGGCTGGAAGATCAGGAGAAGGTACATGGCCTTGACTGAAGGACTTGGACCTGACACTTCAGTTGGAGTCATTGAAGGCTTTTAAAGAGCATTGCACTTGTCCACTCTGCTTCATCTAGGCCACTGTGGAGGATAGGTGAGAGCAGGGGGACGTTGAGGCAGGGAGTCTGGGTGGATGGCTATTGCCATAGTCTAGGCGTGAGATGATAGGTGTAGGTAGGGATGGAGAGAAAGGAGGCAAGAGAATTTTGGACACAAAATGAAAAATGATTTAATAGCATTGGTCATGGAGAGGGTGTGGTTTATGAAAGAGAGGGAAGAGGTAGACGTGATGGGGTTTTTGGACTTGAGAAGCCAAGAAGATGACAGTGCCATTCGCTGGGCAGTGGAAATAGGAGGGGGAGGAGGGTCTGAAGGAAGGTGGCGAGAGTTTGGTTTTGGATATCGTATTTGAGTGTCTGAAGGACATTCTAGTGGTACATCTGCTGCTCAGGGCTGGTCTGGGCTAGTGTGCGGAAATAGACTCTATGTTGAAAGGGTGCTAACATGAATAGAATATCTCCAGGTAGCAAGGGACAGAGGATCCAGAGGCTGCTGGCCACCCTGGAGTATCTCCCTCCAAGCTACTGCCAACACACCCACTCAGGGAACCTGCTCCCATAAAGTGTGGGTGCAGCCATGAACCAAAACCTTCCCTGCACTCCTAAGAACAGCGGTTCCAAAGGCTCCACTGGGTCCAAAGATTGATTAGTGCATTGTCTGGGGCTGTAGCCTCAGCTGGACCTGTGCTCTGATCTCGGCTCCACTCCTTAGTAGCTGCTTGACCCTGGACAAGCCTGTAGGCTGTCTAACTCACTGCTCTTCTGCAGGAGCCGCCTCATCAGATTGTGGTCGTTGTTCAATGATATGAGCCGTGTAGAAGCCTGGGCACTGGTGCCTGACGCATACTTACACTTCATAAGTGTTAACTATCACTATGAGGTTAATCTCTTTGAGCCTTACTTTCCTTACCTGTAAAGTGGGTAGTTACTGTACAGACTCATAGATTTATTGTAAGGAAGCAAATATTAAATGTAAAATAAGGTATGTGAAACACTTTGCTCACTGTCTGACATAATAGATGCCTTTCATTTCTATCAATAATAAATATTAACACAGACCATAGAAAATTCCAAAGGACCGATATTTTGTTGGCAACTTGCCTTGCTTTCTTACCTTCTCGCATCTGTTCTGCCTCCATGTGAAGGGTCCCTCTTGTCACTACCATTTTATCCTTTCTACCAAAACCAAACCCCAAACCCAACAAACAAAAAACACACCAAAAAATCCTCCCTTCCTATCCCTGTCCCCTCCTACCTGGGAGTGTTTTTTATTCCTAGCGTTATTATTATCTCACTAAGCTTCCATTTATAACCTTACCCCACTGGCTGCAGGACTGGGGAGAGCCTTCAGGTGCGACAATATCCTCTACTCACGCAGAGCAGACTTTCCTCATTTTCCTCCTTCCAGGCCCTACAGAGCAAGAGTCACTTGTAGGACTCCCACCTATAGAAGTTCCTCTGGAGAGGTAGTTTGAGCCCCGGGAGTGGAGGAGCTGGTTTGTGAGAGCGCCCTCTATGGCAAGCAGTGGAAAGTGCAGGGAGCTCCAGCGTGGGGTGAAAGCGTTCCTGCCACCCTTGGGCAAGAGGTTGGAGCTCAGCCAGGCGAGTAGGAGGGAGAATGCCCTCCTTTAGGATTTCTCCTGTGAACCTGGCCCAGGAAGAGTGCAGAAGAATTGCATACAGCTGACCCTTGTTGACCTCGAGGGCCACGAGTCCCCTCTGAGGGCCAAGTCCCCTCTGACTCAAACGTGGCATGCACTCCATGAGGATGAAGGTCACTGAGGTCGTGCATCTAGAGACGTTTCCCGCTGGGCTAGGTTTGCCAGCTGCCTCGCCTATTTGCCGGGCTGGGCAACAAAATGCCAGGTTGGCCTGTCACTGCCAAGAGTTTCACCACCATGGGTCTTGCTTTTGTCTTGCTTTCAGTGGGCTCTCCCCGAAGTCCTGTGAATAAGACCACCTTGACATTAATCAGCATCACCAGCTGTGTGATCGGCCTCGTGTGCTCCTCTCACGTCAGCTGCCCTCTCGTTGTCAAGATCACCCTGCACGTTCCTGAGCACCTGATTGCCGATGGTGAGCCCACTTCTGAGGATGCAGCCTTCTCCCTAAAGAGGAAGGTTTCAGGTTGGGCAGGGAAGATACAGAGAAGCCAGAGGTCACTGTTACCTCTTACTATAAGTGAGGAAAAAAATAAACCCAGATAGTAAGGCTTAGGACAAAACTGGATCGGCCACAAATGAAATCAGAAAGCAGGTTTAGAAAAAGAAAAAAAAAAAAAAAACTGAACCGCTCTCCTCTTCTTCTCTGTGCCCACTCCCATTTTCCGTTTCTGTTTGTTTTTATATAAGCCCTGTCTTTGTAAAGAAATGCAGAGCGTACTGGCTACAAGTAGGCAGCCACCAAGATTCTCGTAGCCTTTGAGAGGAGAGAAGCTAAGTGGAGTAGTAGAGGTTTAAGAATCAGACCCCTCTGGTTTTGTATGCCCAAGTGAGACATTCCTAATTGTGGTAACTTGCTATAAGCCTAGAACTCTGAATCAATAATTTACTTTCATCCTGGGGGACCCCAATCTAATGAGGGAGTAACATAGGTTCTGAGAATCATGAATTAGTTAAGCCCAGAGCACCTGACTGACTTGTTAATGTCTGTTTTCTCGGTGGCTGTAAGGCTGCAAACAGGTGGGGACTGTCCGCAGTGTTAGAGGGCCTGCTATTTCATGGCAAGTGAAGATAGGCAGCAGGTCCCTGTTCCTTGGACAAGTGCCAATGCCCGTGGCTGGGTCTGATGGAGCCGTGCCACGGCCATCACAAAGTGGCTCTGTCTCTGTATCCCTTAGGTCCACCCTGCTAGAGATGGGAAGGAGCAAGGCAGCAGGGGACGAGATGGCGGGAGGTCCAAGCAGTGGCCGAGCCTCCATCTGCTGATCCCTTGCTTGGGGGCTCATGAGAGGCCAGGACTGGTGGGAGTAATGACCTCGGTTTGGGGCTAACCTGTAGAGTGTCCCTTACTCTGTCTTCAGTGATGTGTGTGTGTGTATTGTGTGCACACACGGCATGCCTCCTCTCTACCTGCAGGAAGCCGCTTCATCTTGCTGGAGGGGAGCCAGCTGGATGCCAGTGACTGGCTGAACCCTGCCCAAGTGGTGCTCTTCTCTCAGCAGAACTCCAGTGGGCCCTGGGCCATGGACCTCTGTGCCCGGCGGCTCCTGGACCCCTGTGAACACCAATGCGACCCCGAAACTGGTAGGCGGGAGCACCGGGCAGCGGGTAACTGTCAGAGTTCATGCCTCTTGCAATCACTCCCTTGACACCCAGGCCAGCCTTCCTGATTGTCCCACTGCCACTGGGAGCCTAGACTGTGCAAACCGCCAGCATGTGGTTGGGCCCCTGAGCATGTTGGCTTAAAATGTGGGGTCATCTTCTAGCATGGAAGCTTCTAGAATTTTTAAGCCTTGGAAGTATCCTAACTGTAGCCCCACGCCAGACAGGTCAGTTGAGGATGACCTCCATAGCCCACTTGCCATCCCGTCAGGGGTTATCAGCTCCTGGGGCTAGACTTTTCATGCTTGCTTATTGTAAAAAATTTGGAAAATCTAAAAAAGCTTATAGAAGAAAATGATAATCATCTATAATTCTATCTCCTGGAGAAATCATTTTAAAATTTTAATGTCTTCCCTTCCAATCTTTTCTCTATGCATGATTTTTAGAGGCTTGCAAGCACACTAAGTCCAGTTTTTTTAAATGAGTTTTTCATTTAACATTCTATCGTGAGAGTTTTCCAGAACCATTAAATAATCTTCAATAACATAATTTTAATGGTCATTTGGTATTCTATTGTATGTCTATATCATAGCTCATTTAAATAGTCCTCTATTATCTGACATTTAGGATGCTTTAAATTTTTAATTTTTACAAATACTGCTAAAATGAATATCTTTCCACATAAATACAGGGCACATTTGAAGTTATTTTCTTCAGATAAATCTTGGAAGAGAGATTACTGGGCCAAAGGGTATAGACATCTTTCAGGCTATTGTATTATCAAATGGGGCTGGGGCTTCTCCGCGAGAGGGTCCAGATTCAGATACAGCATGCACCAGGACACTTACAGTGCTTCTTGAGCTCCAAGATATCCAGGAGTATGGATCCCTCACTCCAAGCTGCTTTGCACTTGCATCGTAGAAGGGGTTCGTCTAAGGTAGTCTTTATAAAAACCTGTGTCCGGTAGATTCAGTACCACAGACAGATCCTTCCCAGAGAAGTGATACAGTGTCTTGGAACACAGGAAGGGGATATAGTGATATCTATGACCCCCATGTGCGGTGATGCTGCAGTTGGGGGACAACTCCTCTAGCTCTCTGTACCTCATGTGTAGCCCCTCCTCCACCACATACACACGCATGCGCGCACACACACACGTATATATGTATGTATACACACACACATCCCCCTACAGCTGCATCTTCAGGTGCTGGGGGTAGAGGGGTATTAGTAGAGGTCGAGTCCAGGAGATCCAGCCCTTGCTTCTGTTATAATCCATGGCTGCATCTCTGAGGGAGTCACAGGTAACCGTGATGTTTCAAGTTCACCTTCTTAGGTCTAAAAGTTGCTTTTACGTGGGCCCGTCACAGAGATTCTAGGCCCCCATATGGAGGAGAACGTACAACATTTCAAACATCTGATGTCTAAGACTGTGCTTACTTGCTGCTCCTCCCACGCTGTCAGGCAAACACCAAACCAAACAGATGGGCTGTACACCATGCCCAAAAGCCAGTGTGCTCGGGAGAAAGGAAAAAGGGCTCATCTCAGAGGTGGGGCCTCTCCATGCAACTGAGCTCGTCTCTGGTCCCCCCGCTGACTTGAGTTAGGAGTCCTTGGATAATCTTAGTGGTTAAACTCACTTCTGAGAGAAGCATGATCTTCAGAGAGCCTTGCAAGCTTCTACTGAGGTTTTAAAGAACAAGAAGCACTTTTAATTACATGTAGAAAGAAGGGATTGAGGTTTTAGGTGTCTTAGAGGGGAGGGGTCTTAGAGATAAGCTGCCTTCTTTCTTTAGATCAATGCTTGAGTTCCCAAGAAGTTACATGACTTGCCCAAAGTCCCACAGCTACCTAAGGCAGCGTCTGTGTTCTCTCCATCATGAAATCAGAGCAGAGGTGTGATTGTAAAAGGTTGCTTAATTTCCCCAGACATATCAGATCCAACATATTTGTCATTCAAAACTATTTAAGCAAGCATTATTACTGAGCATCACTGCTTACCAAGCCAGGAGCTGAGGAAGCTGCTTGTCCACAGCGAAGCTCCCATCACCTCTTCAGTCCTTCTCAGATGTCTCATTTCTTTTCTTTTTTTTTTAAATTTTTATTTATTTATTTTTCCCCCCAAAGCCCCAGTAGATAGTTGTATGTCATAGCTGCATATCCTTCTTAGTTGCTGTATGTGGGACACGGCCTCAGCATGGCCAGAGAAGTGGTGCGTCGGTGCGCGCCCGGGATCCCAACCCGGGCCGCCAGCAGCAGAGCGCGCGCACTTAACTGCTAAGCCACAGGGCCGGCCCAGATGTCTCATTTCTAATCCTTGCTGAAAATGACTTTGGGAAGCTCATGCCCTTGCTAGTGGCTTCCCAGTATCTGTGACAACTGAAAAGTCATGGATGGAGAATAAAAATAAAGACCCAAACCCCACAACAGAACTAAGGTGCAACATCTTCATTTGGGGTAGCAGTTGAGAAATGATGCTGCAGAGGATTTTATTTTCATTAATGCTGGAATTGGAAATCCTCCCCCTTCCTGCCCTGCTTCTTTCCACACATGGGATGATGTGGTCATCCCACACGCTCATCAGTAAGAAACTTTATCGCCTCCCACACTCCATCCTAGAGCCTTTCTCCAAAGAGCTGAGTGTGGGAATTGGCTGCAAGTCAAGTCGACGTTATTTTTGCAATCCTCCAGCTAACTCACTTGGAAATGTCATAGTGTTGGGACATGTGCTTTCCCAGCCAGGCTGAGTCGTCTGCTTATATGGATGTGTGGAACTGTGCAAGTGCACGTGTATACTTTTTCACACACACACAAACACAGACACTCAGTCACTGCAAAGGAGCAACCTCTGGGGCCTGGAGCTCTCCGTAGGCATCCTTCCAAAGTGTTCCATAGTTAAACGCGTGTTTACTCATCACCTTCACAGCGTCCGGAATACCAGGTGTGGTAGGCAGAATAATGGGTTCCCAAAGATGTTCATATCCTATTCCCCAGGACCTGTAAATATGTTATGTTGCATAGCAAAGATGAATTCAATTTGCAGATGGAATTAAGGTTGCTAAACAGCTGACTTATTTTAAGGAGATTATCCTGGATTATCCAGGTGTGCCCAATGTAATTGCAAGGGTCCTTAAAAGTGGAAAAGGGAGAGAGAAGAGGAAACAAGAGTGATGTGATATGAGAAGGACTCAACCAGCGCTTGCTGGCTTTGACAATGGAGGAAGGGGGCGTGAACCACGCGTGGTGAGCGACCTCTAGAAGCTGGAAAGGGCAAAGAGACGGAGTTTACCCTCCAGCCTCCAGAAAGGAACATAGTCCTATGGACACCTTGATTTTAGCCCAGTGAGACTCGTGTCAGACTTCTGACCTACAGAACCGTAAGATAATATATTTATGTTGCTTTAAACCACTAAGTTTGCGGTAATTTTTTACGGCAGCTATAGAATAGTAATACACCTGAGAAGGAGAAACAGGACAGAGAAAGAACAAGCAGTGTTATGTGACTCTTTATATCGCCCCAGCCCAATTCATAGAGAATGGCTACGTAGACCTTCTGAAGATGTGTCAGGAATCTGTGGAAGAACTGGAGCTGGAGGAAACTTGCTGATCTCTTTTCCATTCCAGCCTTCCTTTTACCTTCTAGCAACATGCTAATCGGGAGGGACGTAATGTACCTAAAGCTCCTAGCCCAGTGCCTGGGAGCCCAGTGCCAACTGCACAGTGACATTCTCCCCAGATCCTTCCAGGTTTGTAACCTAGGTGTGTCTCTGGTCAAGTTGGGCTAACAGCAAACCACTAAGGTTGTAAAGTTTATGGATCCAGCGAGAGGTTGACTTTTCCTATCCTTTCTAAAGGTTTCTGTTGTGTTTGTAGGTTTGTTTGATTGTTTGTTTTTTGTTGGAAACACAGACTAACTGGTTTCAGTGACTTCTCTCTGTACTCCATTCCTGGCCTTTGTTCTGCCATATGGGCAGCTGTGGAAGCTTCACATACCTGCTTAATTTCACAGTCCCCGTCAGTCCTGCCCACAGACCCTCATTGCCCTTTTCAAGATATCTAGCTGTTATGGGTCTGCAAGGAGCATGGGCTTCCAAGCTAAATCAAGTTTTAATCACTATCCAAGATGTTCACTGAAATTCCTTCTGTCCCAGATCTCTCCATACATTGGTCCCAACTATGTAGAAGTGTGTAAAACCTGATGAGGGGCATTGGAGCATATTTTCAGATTCAATCTAGCCCTCTTCCCCTTTCTTGCTCAGAACCCTGCCTCCCTCTCTCTAGCCTTTCCTGGTTTTTTGAACCCAATTTGGCAGGAGAGCACAGCTTCCATTTTTTTTCTCATTCCAAACTCCCTTTTTTGGCCCAGTTAAAGCACCTTCCTTTGAGATGTCCTTTTGGCCTGTTTCCCTCTGTCTGCCCTCTTGGAGTCATGTGGGGCTGTTTGACTCTGGGCCTGCCTCTTGCCTGATGTCTCCATGGGGGAGGAGACCAGGCATTTAGATATGGCCCAAGTTCAGACGTCTAACAAAGATTGCCCTTTTTAGATGAAGCACAAACAATTCCATTTAATAAAAGCCAACAGCTACCTGAAGGATAGAGATGACTCAGGGCTTTTGGCCTTGATCTGTATTTACCTCATGAAGAACTTGTGGTGAGCCCAGTCATAGCTGAGGAGCCTTAGCTTTAAGGTCTTCCTTTAATCCTTTGATGAGATTTGTGCCTAAGTCTATAGACTGGGAAATGACCAAAGGCAGTGTCCATCATACAAGGCGCCTCAAGGCGTTTGCCCTCAGGATACCAAACACAAATCAAAGTATAGCCGTCTCCAGGCCCTGCCTGGATCTCTTCTCAGTGGGCTTCTACTCTTTAGCAGCGTGGTTGCCTGTGAGTGCCTCCTGCAGGGCACACTGCATCCCTGTTGGGCACTTCTCTGTGGCCATGACACGTATCTCCATTGGATTCCTATGAGCACTACCACAGAGTCGGCACGTCATGTGTTCCCCGCCATCTGTCACAGCAGATGCAGAGACTGTAACACTTCTAGCTTAGGAGGGCATCCAACACCCTTGTGGGGTCTTTAAAATTCACAGCTAACAGTCGGAGCTTGTGCTTGCACGAAACCCCTCTTAAAGTCAAGATTTAGCAGTTGGTTGCCATAGCAACTTTCCTCATCAAGTCTGAACTTTCAATATAGATGGCCAAACTGGTTTTGAGGAGAAATACAGAAGAGGGAAATTTGGTGGGTTCTGGAAATGAGGATCATTTGAGAGGCAAATTTTGGATATCCTCAAACTCGAGCCTGATGTGTTTGAAAATTTCTCTGTTGCTCTGACTTTGGGCTGCATATGACACTATATGGAGAAAAGCTTTATCTGTCGTCGGCAGTGTGTCCCCACATAGTAATGAACGATGGAAACCTCATAAGGAGATAATGACTAGGAAGGCAATTTGAGAAAGGTAAAGGTGCTCTACAAATGGTAGGTAACGCCATCATTAGGAAAATCAGGCTCTGCTTGAACTCTGAGTTGTTACTGCATTTATTTTTATATGTTTCATGGTAACTAGATATTAAATGTGGAAGAAGGACTGCCTTTTTTGTCAATCCTTACTTCTAGGCAAGGCACCCAGCCAAGACCATTCTAAGAGTCAGAGTGATGGGTTCGACAACCTCTTCAGGTTACTTCCTGTTTTTTAATGTCATACCCATGCCTAATGTCCCCAAGGACAATCGGGAGGGGATCTCCTTAAGGGAGAAGCATATCTGGGCCCTTGACCCATTAACTGACTTAGATATCTGCATCTTGGGGAGAGGTGGTGGTGGTGTTATCTATAAATTTACAGCAAACGCTTTAATATATTTATTCTCCATGACACAGTATTTATAAAAGGCCTCTTCATATGGGGGGAAACTAACCTCGTTCCTGCCCTTGTGTAGCTTATAGTCTATGCTTTCTTTGGCATTGATAAAGTATGAAGCCCAGCTCCTAGTACTTTCCTACTTTTGCTCGCTCTGGTTCTTGCCTTCTTTATCTTTTGTTCTATTGGAGAAGCAGCCTTCATCTGAAAGCCTTATCGTCCACTACCTAATTTCAATCTGTGTTTTCCAATGTTCGACTCATAGCTCCCTGACTATTCCCCACTGAAGCCAGTAATTCAAGCCTATTGCGAATCTAACCCATGTGGAAGCCTGAATTTGCCGTACAAGAGACCAAGTTTTGATCTACTACTCTCTGTGGATCCCCCACAAAGAAGTTACTCATTTTCACTCCACTCCTCAGCGCCTTGAGCTGAGCAGGTGTGGGGGAAGAAGATGAGTGTTATTTGGTAGTGAGGCCCTGATGGGCAGTAGCTTATAGGTCAATCATGAAAGGAATGGTTGAATTTAGATCCTAACAAAAAACTTCCTGCTCAGGTCCTACCAATCCCTTCCCTCATGACTGTGAGGCCCCTTCACTTCATTTTTATTGGTTTTTATCATTAAAAGACAAAATAGCAGTCAAAGCTATTATTCTATCTATATCCTTTTTAAGCATCTCTTCCTAGGGAGATAGAGAAACTGTGTGCCCCTTGTCTCATTAGGGCATGCCACCTTTGTTATTTATAAATTTCAGGAAGTCACTCTCTGTTCTTTCACTACCTACAAACTAAATTACCAGCCAGTGAAAGAGTTAAGACTAGTGCTTTAGTGGAACTGGTCTCAGTGGTGTAGGGATGTGTAGCATTGCCTAAGGAATTATTCATATAAGGAAGCAGCAACAATTTTCTTCAAAATTAGTACTAAGTACAGCAATGATTCTTAATCTTTGGGGATCTTAGATTAGTTTCTAAATCAGATGGATGTTATGGAACCCTGCCACAGAAAGATGCACATACGCACATATATGTACAGTTTTGCATACAATTCCAGGGGGGTCGTGGACCTCTTGGTATACTAAGGGAGTAACTAATGATCATGAAGCATAGTAATATCCTAAACAAATAGAGAATTATAGATGATCTTTCTGTTTGCCAGCTCCGAGATAATTAGCCATTTTCACTTAAAAATGAAAACCCGGAGTTCCAATAAAACCATAATAGGTGTAAGTGGCCTCCTCTAAATATAGTAGTAGTTCTGTGGGCTAGCAGCATGGCATGGTGGGGAAAAACGGTCTGGAGTCAGAAAGACTCCAGGGATCTCCAGATCCCTTAATTTTTCTGAGCCTCAGTTTCCCCCATCAGCATAGCATAGTATTAATACCTACTTTTCAAATTTCTTAGAAATATTTGATGAAATAACTCACTTATGTGGTCTTTAAACATTTATTGATCACCTAATAGGTGCCTTGCAGTAAACTGGGCACTGAGAAGGTAAAGATGCAAAGTCCCTTTGCTCAAGCAGTTCTTGGTCTTTGTGTTTACAAAGCACATATAACAGGTGCTTTGTAAAGGTTGGGTTCCTCCGCGAGTGAAAATTATCACATAGTGGAAAATGGAGAGATTGGTGTGGCGTGTTCATTCACGTGGGCGGTGGAGATGGCAGTGTATGACATAATGGGATTTATTGTCTCATCTTTGCCTCTATTAGAGCCAGAGCTTAATCTGATCATTTCATGTTAATTTTCTCAAACACAGACATGTTAATCAATTCCTTCATGTTTCTTTTTCTTCCTCCTTGCCCTGCTTCTAAGGGGAATGCCTCTGCTACGAAGGTTACATGAAGGATCCAGTGCACAAGCACCTTTGCATTCGGAATGAATGGGGGACAAACCAGGGGTAAGTGAGGGGATGGGAAGTTAGCCGGTTCCCAGATGTCACCATTCCCTCATGCAGACGTGACGTGGAGCAACTGCCTGCAGAGGAGCAGAGCTGAAGGGTGGTTATATTCTGAACAGCGAATGGGTAAAACTGTCACTGTGCATTTCCATATTTATACCAGTCCAATGACGTCCACATCATCTTTTTCTCCATTTACGAGTTCAGAGATGATGCCTCTGACTCGCAGCCCCACAGCCTCCAGCTGGGATCTGAAAATCAAGCTGTCCCTCTCTTCCTTTTCACATCACCGCCAGCAACGAGGATTCCACAGGCAGAACTTATTTTGTTGGAGACACGTGAAGCCACATAGACTCCAGTGTAGCTCTCCCAGAGCTTGACAAGCTTTGCAAGACTGACATGAGTAGAAACTTGTTTTTACCAGGACTGTTGGCAGGGGTGAAGTGCAAAGATTCAGGGAGCACTCGGTGTTGAGTAAGAGTACTTTTGCCTGATCCCTAATTACCCTGTCTCTGGGAGACCTTTGCTTTCCCCCAAGCACACGACTGGGATAAAAACGATACTTTGTCTATTGCTTTTTTCATTTTGTTTTTTTACATTTTTTTGAATTTTTTATTGTGATAAAATATACATAATATAAAATTTACCATTTTAACCACTTTTAAGTGTACCATTCAGTGGTGTTAAGTACATTCGCGTTGTCGTGCAACCATCACCACTGTCCTTCTTCTATTGCTTTTTAAAAGCAACTTTCTGCTTTGTTTTGGGTGCTGAGAGCTTGCTTTCTGCATCGGCTGGGTCTTGGAGGAGGCTGAGAGGAGAAGGGGATCAATAAATGCTAACTAATAATAGCAATCAATGGAACAGGGAAAACTAGAAGGAAATCAAGGCAAATGCCATCTCGGAGTGATTGCTTGGACTGCAGATTAGAAATGCATTTGCAGCCAGAGAAGGTGGAAAAAAGAAACCACTGTCATTTCACACATTGCCAGTGAGAACTCATGTCCCTGAGGTCGATGATCAGCCCCCTCTGTGAGAATCTGAAGAGACCAAGCCTAGAATATTGAATGTAGTTCTGGACTCTCAAAGCAGTAAATATGGAGACAAATGGGTGAGAGTTTGGAGAAGAGCAATAAAAATGATTGAAGAGCCCAAGGGAGTGATTTATGATGAAGGGATAGAAGAACTCAGCTCGGAGAACTTGGCCAGCTGATGCCTAAGTCAAGGCATGATAGATGCCCGTAGAGTTAGAGGAGGGCAAATGTTCTGGAACGGGTTGAGGTTGAGGGATAAGGACAAGAGAGAATGAAGTTAGAGAAAGGAAATCTGAGTCACAGGTCAGAAAACTTGGGGAAGTCAAAATGCCATGAAATTTGTCTATTGGTAAAAATGAAGGATTGCTCTGTCTCCTCTCCACGGAGAGGCAGTCCACAAACTTTAGAGGGAGATGTTTGTAGAAGGGTAAATACATGTGAGGTGGCCTGTGGTTGGAAGACTGTTGGGGAGGGCAGAGGCCGTGGCTAATAGATGTCAAGCAGGGTATGAATAAAGAGTGCCACTTGCTATTTAAAGTCCCTTAGATGCCCTACTCTCGGACCCCTGAAATGTTTGCATAGTTTCTAGGGGTTTTAGCGTATGTGATGTCTGAGAATTGTAAAGGGTGATGCATATTGTAAAGGGTGATGCATAACCAGCGCTCTTTCTCTTAGCCTGCAAACTTGCTGCTGAAGAAAACAATGACAAAATATCATTTCGCTTTTTGCCCTGAATGATCCAGGCTGGCTCTCTGCAGTGATTGGATTTGGTGGCTAATCGCTCAAGCCTCCACATCCCTTGCCTTGTAGACAGATCACATGAGGATGGGCCTGACTTCACTTGGTAATTGCGCAGAGCTTCATCATTCCCCCTGGCTGTGTATAGAGACAGTCTTAGGATGTAGACAGGAGCCTCCAGGGATATGGCGGAGGCACCACATTGGTGTCATTTAAAATAAGACAGGCGAAAGCACTGAGTTACAGACTGACAGGAACATTAGCCCCAGGAAACAGACAAGAAGACCTCATCTGTCATTTCCATCTCTAATTTCCATTATTCTCTGATCATCACTGTCTACGAGGTCTCATTTTGGACACTAATAAAATAATGGAGCAACTGTTAGGAGGAAAAAGAAAGTGACTATCTTGAGGATAATGGAACCAGGAGTGATAAGCAGCATGAGTTTATATATATATAAAAAAGTGCCAGACAAATAACTACATTTTCCTCATAAAGTGACAAGAGAAATGAAAAGTGGAAGACGCCATACATCTTGATTTAAATCAAGGATCTGATGCCACGTTTCTTTAAATGATTCTTACAAAGGTAATCAAAATTTATTTGAATGTGAAGACCGTCACTTGAATTGAAAACTCCCTGACAGATTGCCAACTAACGATACGTATTGGGGATTATGGAAAAATCAATGGTAGAGCAGATTTTCCTGAATATTTCATTTAATTTTCCAGAAGGTGGAGGTAAGCAGCATGTGTGGTATTTGTTTTTCACTTAGCATTATTGTATTGCATACATTAAAGTAGCTGAACATTCTTTTGAAGTAGGACAACCAAATCCTAGGCCAGTAAAAGGTGAAGTGAATTCCCTAATATACCAGGACAAAAGTAGCAATAAGCACTCATGACTTTCAGACAAGGAAGAAAACTGATCAAGGACACTAATACCAAAAATTACAATGGATGATTCTGTGAGGCAGAGGAGTTACACCTGCAACTTATCCAGCCTCTGCCTTGTGCTCCAGTTTCTCTGGACGCTGTGTGTGTGTGTGTGTGTGTGCCAGTTTGTTTATAGAAATCCTCTCACCACTACATTCCATCATTTATTCTCTCACTCATTCATGTTTTCAACAAATATTCACTCCATTACCTATTGTGGCCCAGGATAAGCTAGGTTGCTAATTATAAGATGTTGTCTCTGCTCTCAAAGAACTAATAGTCTAAATAGGTATATGGGAACATAACAAAAAATTACAATGAATTCTGAAACCTATTAAAATAAAGGTGTGAGCAAAGGTCGGTGGGATTATAGTTTAAGGAGTAATTTATGGGAATCTAAGAATCTGGAATAGGGCTTCACTGAGAAGTTAGATTTTGAACTGTTCTATTTAACAGGTGACAAAGGTAGTTCTAAGCAAAGGGAACAGCATATGCCAAAGCATGGAGACATAAGAAACATGATTTTTCCAGGAATGGCAAATAAATACCTCAATGTAGCTTACGAGGGCAGTTTATAGAGACAGGAGAAGAGGCTGATAAGGTGGAGAAAGACTAGATCTGGAAGAGCTCTTGCTTACTAAGGCTTTCGACATTAAAGCTCCATGTACTGGCCCCTAGAATTGTTAGCAGGAGGGAGAAGTTCCAAGATGAGTGTATATTTGGTGAGATATCCCCTCACTTCGCATTATTTTTCTGGACCCTTCAAATTAAATTAAAATAATACTAAAAAGAAAACAAAACACACACAAAACCTCTTCAGACTGTCTAAATTTTTATTTATCTGGATTCTGCAAGTAAAGCATAGTCCTAAAATTATCCTGTAGATAAAGTTTTCAAGACCAAACAGCCAAGAGTGATAGGGAATCGGGGACCATATATACAAGGTTTGTGAATCGAGGGGGTTGCAACCATTTTTTGGAGCCTCTGGTTCTGCCAAAAATGCTCAAGGAGAACAAGGCAGGTTGAGACATTCCTGTGTGGACCTGGGTGGTGACACCAGTCTCTGTAGCTCTCCCAGGTGACAGGATCCAGGTGGCAGGTTGTAAAATCATTGAACTCATTACACAAGAAGCTCCTATTCACTAAAAGTAAAAGTTACTTCAGAAAGCTTTAAAGTCATGGATGACAGATTTCTAATGAGTTAGTAAAATCACATGGAGTGTTTGGGGTTACAGCCATGGTCCTTGAGGTTGGCGATGAAATCTGTCATTCCCTGCCACAGCACCCCCAGTGACCCGGTGCCTGACGGAGGACCTGGGATGGAAGGGTCCTGCCCCACCACGGGGCTTGACCTCGTCTTCTGTCTAACCAGCAGGAATTCACTGAATAACTCCTGGGCCTCCCGTCCCTGTGGCTGCACAGACACAGCCAGGGACTGTGATAGTTGTTTGCTAGGGCAACAAGGACAAATTGAAAATTTTCAGACAAGAAATGAGAACAATAAATGAGGGTGGAGGAGGCAAGAGAGATTGATTTCCATGAAAATCTTAGAGGAGCAAAAACAAGTTTATTCAGCTACTTTGGAGATTATTAAGAAAGGCTATAATGTTTTTTGTTAAATTAAAAGTGTGCCCAGGGCCTCTAGATACTTTTTTCTGAACACCGCAATTAGATTCAACTCATGCATTTGAAGATTCCCGGTAAATAATAGTCCGATTTCTTATTCTGGCATCTCAGATACAGAGGACAACACCAAGGAGACCCCCACTAGAGAACTGTGGCATCTCAGTAGATTTCAGTCTTGAAGGGTGCTGGTAGAATGATAATTCATGAGATGGGAAGAGACCTGCTGTAGAAAATGAACAGGTGTTTCTCCACGGTTTTAGAAGCTATTGTCAGGAATGGCCCTGCTTAACACCTCCTTTTTTTACTACCTACTTAGGAGGCAACACACTCACCATGACATCCCCAGATTAGTACACGTGTGTGCATGGGCACACACACGTGCACTCATACACAGCCCACACTGCCTTAATATGTCCTTTCCATTGTCCCAGGTGCTACTGTTCTCTTCTTTTATTCCTACAACTCTTCCCTGCTGCTCAGCCTCCCAGGAGTGACTGCTTAGGGATTCTAAATCTGTATAAAGAGCGACATCCCACGCCGTAGAATCCAGTTTCCTTTTCAAGCCAAGAATGAGGACAATGTCTGTTATGGTTTGCCTCAGCCCCTCTGTCTTGCTTAAAACACATCCTTGACAGGAGGTAATTTTATTTGGGCCTGCCTGGATGA